GAGACTCCCTCTCAAAAAAAAAAAAAAAAAATTCATCCTCACTACATATGAACAGTGCACATAAGAAAAAAGTACAAAGCTGACTTAGCACTAGTGATGAAAAGTGGTCTGTGCAGTGCTGAGTTAAAATAGATTTCATTTTTCACTTACATGTGCCAGACACTATTCTAAGTACTTTATAAATATTAATTCATTTAACATTAAAGAAGAAGATGATTGACTTTCTTTTTTTTTTGAGATAGGGTCTTACTCTGCCACGCAGGCTGGAGTATAGTGGTGTGATCTCGGCTCATTGGAACCTCCACCGCCTGGGTTCAAGTGATTACAGGTGTAAGCCACTGCACCTGGCCTACATGACTGATTTTTCTAGAAGTCAAGAAAATACGCTGAGAAGGCTGCTTCAGTTCTGAAAAACTAAGCTTTCAAACTGGCATCCATGTTAGTGTGTAAGGTGCTTCATTTCCTTTTTATGAGTCGGGGCATATTCTTTTTTTTTTTTAAATGGTACTTCAAGTTCTGGGGTACATGTGCAGAACGGGCAGGTTTGTTACATACATACATACATATACACGTGCCATGGTGGTTTGCTGCACCCATCAACCAACCCATCATCTACATTAGGTATTTCTAATGGTATCCCTTCCCTAGTCCCCCACCGAGTCAGGGGCATATTCTAAGAAGAGCAATTCCCAGTCTTGCCATTTAGATGAGGGTAAAAAATAGGCAATTAGGTTCTGCTAAAGGGTACACCTTCTAGTAGAAGGAAGAGAAGAACTATAAGTAATTCTGGACTCGGGGATTTCTATTTCTAGGATCTTGGCCTTTCTTTGGGGATTAATATCCAAGGGAAGCCATGAATCATACTGGTTAGGTGGGTGACTGGAATACCTCAGCTCTGTCATTTACTAAGCTGTATAACCACTTTGGGCAAGTTAAATAACTTTGATGTTTCCTCATCTGTGAAGTGGGGATAATAATACCTTATTTTATTATTTTTTTTGAGTTGGAGTCTCGTACTGTCACCCAGGCTAGAGTGCAGTGGCATGATCTCAGCTCACTGCAACCTCTGCCTCCTGGGTTCAAGCAATTCTCTTGCCTCAACCTCCCAAGTAGCTGGAGGCTATAGGTGTGCGCCACCACACCCAGCTAATTTTTGTATTTTTAGTAGAGACGGGGTTTTACCATGTTAGTCAGGCTGGTTTCCAACTCCTGACCTCGTGATCCACCCACCTGGGCCTCCCAAAGTGCTGGGATTACAGGCATGAGCCACTGCGCCAGGTCTAATTTTATTTTTTTGACAAGATCTTGCTCTATTTCCCAGGATGGAGTGCAGTGGTGTGATCATGGCTCATTGCAGCCTCCCAGCTCCAATCCATCCTCCTACCTCAGCCTCCTCAGTAGCTGAGAACACAGGCATGTGTCATAATGCCTGGCTACTTTTTAAATTTTTTATAGAGATGTGGGTCTTCCTATGTTGCCCAGTCTTATCTTGAACCCCAGGGCTCAAGACAAGAAATCCTCCTGCCTTGTCTTCCCAAAGTGTTGGGATTATAGATGTGAGCCATAGCACTCAGCCAATACTTTGTAGGGTTATAGTTTGTTTTTCAATAGGGTTTCATTCTGTTACCCAGGCTGGAGTGCAGTGGCCTGATCATACCTCACTGCAGCCTTGAACTCCTGGGTTCAAGTGATTCTCCCACCTCAATCTCTTGAGTAGCTAGGACCACATGTACACTGCTACCACTGGCTAATTAAAAAAAAATTTTTTTTGTAGAAATGAGATCTGGCTATGTTTTTTTTCTTTCTTCTTTTTCTTTTAGGCAGCTGAAGAGGAAGAGGTCTACAGTGATGCAGCCATAGTTCACTGCAGCTCAAACTCCCTGGGGTCAAGCGATCCTCTCACCTTGGCCTGCCAAAGTGCTGGGACTATAAGTGTGAGTCACCACACCCGGCTGAGTTATTGAAAACACTAAATAGTTATTGCTATTCATAAAAGCTCCTGGAACAATAGAGCAGAGCACATCAGCTATTTCCTTTAAGTACCGTGGCCCCTTTCTTTTCTTTTTTTGGTGATGGAGTCTTATTTCTGTTGCCCAGGCTGAAGTGCAGTGGTATGATCTCGGCTCACT